CCATCGGCGAGCTTCCAGGAGCGTAAAACGAGAAGAAATGAAATAACCCGAACATCTTGGCAAACTTGCTCATAGAGGTTATCCGACCTGCTGATTTCGAAACTCACATTTGCTTAGCAAGATACCTTCGTATTCTAGGGCTATGGCGAGTAGAATTTGGGACGACAAGATTTTTCCACAATTCATCAGCCGTTCTATTTCCTTTGAAAAGAAACCTGCGGCTATTATTTAGCCCGTCATAATCTACAGAAAAAGTACTATCGAAAGATTCTTGCTGAATTAAATCGGGACAATGCTCGCTGCTTTACACCTTCGCGATAAGGCGTCCGCAGAAAGATTCAAGTGTACTGAAATCGAAATATCAAGGACAAGCTGTATATAAAAAGATTCGCCTTGATGAGCTGAGTACACCACTGTATGGATTCAAAATATACTTGTTCCGAAGGAAGTTATGGCGAGTAGAATTTAAAAACGAGTGATTTTTCCAGAATTCACCAACGCTTCTATCTCCTTCGGATAGAAGTCTGAGCCTATTTTTTAGCGCACAAGAATTCACAAGAACACTATTATAGAATAGTACTTAGTAAAGTTTTCTATGTTGGGTAGGCGCTGCTTCACATATTGAAAGGACCTCCGCAGAAGAATTTCAAAAAACTGGAAACGGAATATCGAAGACATCGTACCCCCACTTCCGATATATCAGAAGATTCTCCGCGCCGAGCTGAATCGAATCGTGCTTTAGATTCAGAATTCGTCTACTCTAAAGTGAGATATGGCCACGCGACGGTGATGTCCATACATGTAGCGGCATGTAAAAGGACGTGTATGTACATTCGCGTCTATTTTTCAAAAAATGAGAGCGGTATTGTAACAACCTAATATTTATTGAACACAAAATTCAAAAAAATCTTCATTGCTTTCCGCATCATGCGCCGAACGAGTTCTGCTGCTACAGTTGGAGCCTGAGCCTTTCGGTCCAGCATTTGCCTAGTCGCCTCCACATTTCCCTCACGAACTTCCCAATTCTTCCACCTCCCCTCCTCATCCCCTCTCCACATTCCCCTTCCTTAAGATTGATAACAGACGTGTGTGACAAGAAAGAACATAAAGAAAGTAGAAAGGCTAGCATAATCAAGGCTAAGCTGAACTGCTTGGGGACACTGACACTTTTGCGATCGGAGGAGTGAAAAGCTTACTGCGTTTTGGTTGTTAACAATTTTTTTGTTTAACGTAGAGCATTCGGGTTGCGCGTCGGAAGCAAGTCAGCGCGCTCTTCCTGCCCTTCTCCGCGAATCAAAAATAATATCGCCTTGCTTTTCCTTCCAGAAACGATATTCAGTTTGACCCGGTTGATAAAGCAAGTCCAGCTCTTCAAGACAAAATTGAAGTTTGGCTGACAATGCTATGGTGAAGTTGAAGTCTGTTCGTGAGTATCAGCACTGATACCGAGGTTATAATTGCGTCCTTCACCTCATTTATCGAAAAGGCTCAGTAAATTCCATGACTACCATTTGGCTGAACAAACGCTTGATTACTCAAACCAGCTGTTGTTGGAGTAGAATGACTTTTGATGCGTTCAAGAGCAGAGAATGCAGTGATAATCTCTCTTTCGAGGATGGTGGATGCTGCAAATTTTTCATATTTTAGAACACAGGTGCGATAGTGTGAGAATTTTCTCACCTCCATTCACCCCTGAGCCGGGACCAAGATGGCCCCTTTCACCAAAAGCCGAGAAAAATAATCAACAGTGAGGTAAGGTTAAGTGAAGAAGATATTTGTACGTGAAGTGTTTATGTATAGGAAAGGACGAGTCTGTTGAAAAAAGGGCTTGGTGACGGGTGTGAGTAATGATTTCTGGAGATTTTCGAGTTTTTAACATAAAAAAATTCATAACTTCTGTAGTTGAACATCTTGTACGCCTTGATGGCCAGCATTGGAACCGTCTCGTCCTCCGCTTTCAGAAAATATATAGAACGTCTGATATCCATTCAAGAAAGGCAGTGAATGGTTTGCCCAGTGATTTTTGAGGATTTTCGATTTTTTAACACAAAAAATTAATAAGTTCTGCTGATGAGCATATTGCACCCCGATATGGTCGCCGTTGGAACCGCCTCATCCTCCGCCTTCAGAAGATATATACTATGTTTGGGGTCCGTTGAAAAAAGTGCCTGGGTGAAGGGTGTCCTAGTGAATTTTGGAGATTTTCGAGTTTTTAACATAAAAAATTCATAACTTTTGTAGATGAACATCTTGTACGCCGAGATGGTCACCATTAGAAGCGCCTCGTCTTCCGCTTTTTGAAAATATATACTTCGCCCGGGGTCCATTAGAAAAAGTGCTGGGTGAAGGGTGGGTGAGACTTTTATAATGGGAGTGCTCAAGTACATGCTTTTTTACCATTGTATTAGGTTGTCCGGAAATTAATGCCCGTTTTGAATTTCAACCGCAATAAGTCATACACTTCTCATTTCTAAATAGGTTGCAAAGTACCATTCGATAGAGCAAATCAAGCTCTACAAGAGGGCCATCTTGCTTTTGCAACAGCTCTCATCCACCTCGAGTTTTGAACCAAAAACTTAAACGACTCAGCAGCCCGAAAAATCCAGAGAAAACGTAACTCAATTCATAAAAATCCTACAAAAATTCTTACTTGCTTACGTAAACACTTCCCATATAAGACATCTATATACGCCTTTGCCGTATTTTTCCCTCTATTAGAAACCAAGAAAACGGAAATTTTTGTGCATTTGCCAAAGTGATGCTGTGCCGTCCCTACATAGGTAGTTGTTTACCACAAGCCTCTACAGAAGTACTGACTTAAATTTTTAGCTTTCTACAAGCTTTAGTTCTCGAGAAATACCGAATATAGTTTTCCCTAGTTAGGTGGTCAAAGCTAAAATCCAAATTTCTCGAGAACTAAAGCTTATAGAGGGCTGAGAATTTACATTTGTACTTCTACGGGTTTGTAGTATACAATTACCTATTGGGGACGGCACAGCATCACTTTGGCAAATGCACGAAAATTTCCGTTTTCTTGATTTTTAATAGAGGGAAAAATAAGGCAAAGGCGTATATAGATGTCTTATATGGGAAGTGTCCACGTGAGCAAGTAAGAATTTTTGTAGGATTTTTGTGAACTGAGTTACGATTTTTTTCGATTTTTCGGGCTGCTGAGTCTTTTTAGTTTTTGGTTCAAAACTCGAGGTGGATGAGAGCTGTTGCAAAAGCAAAATGGCGATCTTGTAGAGCTTGCTTTGCTCTATCGAATGGTACTTTGCAACCTACTTTGAAGTGAGAAGTGTATGACTTTTTGCGGTTGAAATTCAAAACGGGCATTAATTTTCGGACAACCTAATAAAAAGACGTCTACTTGAGCACTCTCATTATAAAAGTTTCACCCACCCTTCACCCGGCACTTCTTCTAATGGACCCCAGCCAAGGTACACATTTTCTGAAAGCGGAGGACGAGGCGCTTCTAATGGTGACTATCTCGGCGTACAAGATGTTCATCTTCAGAAGTTATGAATTTTTTTATGTTAGAAACTTGAAGATCTCCAGCAATCACTAGGACACCCCTCACCCAGGCACTTTTTTCATCGGACCCAAGCAAAATATATATTTTCTAAAAGCGGAGGATGAGACGGTTCCAAAGGTGACCACCGCGGCGTATAAGGTGTTCATCTACAGAAGTTACGGATTTTTCTAACCTAAAAACTCGCGAATATCCAGAAATCACTACCCACAATCTTCACCAGACACTTTTTCAACAGACTCCAGGCAAGCTATATATTCTCTAAAAGCGGAAGACAATATAGTTGTAAAAACCTTTTCATTGCTGACGTTGCTGTTCATCTACAGAAGTTACGAATTTCTTCTTCTAAAAAATCGTAAATGCTTAAAAATTGTACCTCTTTCCCGAAACAGATGTTCTCGCATACACATCTTCTATGGTATTTTTAGAAACATATAAGGTTATTCCAGTCCTCTCAGTCTTCACATTTTGGTAAAAAAGACAACCAATGATGGCAGAGAATTTAAAATCATAAACTTTTATTTGGAGTATAAAAAAACACCATCACCTTCTCCTCTCCTCCCCCGGTCGGCATTTCATGATTTCTCGATCAACTGAAACTCCCTTCACCCTGGAGGCTGCGACCACTGTGACCCCCTTCACCCTGGAGGAGTCATTCTCACCTCATCGCACCTGTGTTTTAGAATGTAATTGCGCAGAGAAATTGAAAGTCAATCGATGCTGTAATGTTGAAAAACAAGTAATATCGTTCAGCTTTCATACGCCCTTTTTAACTTTTTTAAAACCTTTTCGTTCATGGGAAATAAAGGCCTCTTTAAGACATTTTGGTTGGCTGACATGCGCACTTTGCAGCAAATTTCAGAGAGTTCATCATTGGAACGCAAATTACGATGATTTCTGGAGTGGCTTCATGACAGTGTCCAGCGCTGTATCTTATGTGTACTTGTCGTTAAAGGTATTGGCTCGGCAAATCCTCGACCTGAAGTTTTCTCGTATACCTGGGGTAATTTGACGCGCAGAATCCGAAAATCCACCCTAAAGAGCGCAAAAATGGCGAAAACCAGCATTTTTCAAAACCCCTTATTTTGAATCTGGACGACTATAATGAGTCCCGCTGTGGTTGAGACGCAGAGTCTTACAGGACCATCATGGTTACAACATTGCGGCATGCCTCCTATGACGGCGAGAGGGGAATCGAAGCTTGTCCGAGCCCGTGTAGGAATAGCTTGCACAAATGGGTTTAGGGGCAGTTTTCTAGGCAGTGTCAGCATAAGGTGGCTCAGACCTGCTCAATTCTCATGTTTGGGGTGCAACCTTCCATATTAAGATTTCGAGATGTTCGGTCTTGCCAAACCCTGTCTTTAAATCAACCTAAAATATTGCTTAAGGAAAATATTGTTGATCCTTTAGTCTTTACCATTTCTACTAAGCATCTATGGCTTCGAAGTTGAAGTTAATCTCTTTTCAGGCAGTCATAAATGGATTGTTTTCCAGTGGTGGAAAAAGATCGAACGCCATTCATTATTGGCGTGTCAGGAGGCCCAGCATCGGGTAAGGTCAGTTATCAATATGATGTCGGAACCAGGGATCAGCATCAGATGGCTTTTTCAATTTTTCAAAAGCGAAGTCCCTTATACTTTGCCACAAAAGTGTGACATCACCTAGGACACGATCATGAATGGATCAAACACAAAATAACAAAAACTTATGGAACATAACATGAAAACAACATTGAGCAGACGAAATAGAACCAAAGAAGTTTGTATCTCCAAATTAACGTTATGCTGTCTTTCACCGGCTTCATACAGAAACCTATGGAGGGCCGCAACTAGGCGAGGAGAAGGGGATTTTGGGGCGATTCAAAAACTTAGTTGCAGGGTTTTTGGTGTAGAACAAAGTTATAACATGTGAAATAATTATGTAAAGGAAGGAAAATTCACGACTTTTCTTTTAATAGCCACTTCAGGTGGCTGTTCAGGTGGCTGGAAAGCCACCTACCTCGAAAAAGTTTGCCACGCCTTCAGTTTACACTTTTTCATAATTTCTCATACATAATCCCAATTCCCTATTGCCCATCTACATGCTTTTTTTTGGTGTCATTTCAAATTCTCTTTGCTACAAACAAGGCTGTTATTTATTTTGGGCAGCCTGGAATTCGCGCGCTTAACCGGCGAAACTGTTAAAACAGACAATTTTCGGTTTTGCAGGAATGGGATCGATAAGGCAGTAATGACAATCTGCATCTTCTATAGCAGATCATAACTTATAATGACGGGCTGAGGTCGTGTGTATGTGTTTGTGGTCTGTGGTTTGATTGTGATTTCTAAAGAAAATCGATTTCTTGCCTTTTTTTCTCAAAAATCGTAATTTCTAGGAAGAGCTCAATCAGTGCGAATCTTGCTCAGCTAGGAAGAGGAGATCAAATAATTTAAAATACTGGCTGCTTTGGATTTTATGGCGCAGTTGTGGAATTTTTGACGGGCTTGCCTCAAAATTCCGAACTTGAAGCGATGTCGTTTTCCCTTTATTATCTTTGCAGTCAGAGCCAGGGGAGAGCAAGCAAGTTGTCATTAGAATATACATGAGATACTTTTCCTAGTTCTCTTTTTGTAATGGAAAACTATAGTGTGTGGGAGAATTAACGATTTTTTGAAAATGAACAGGTTATATATATAAGGTTAGAAACAGAAAGTTCTATGCACATAGAACTTTCTGTTTCTAACCTTATATATATATATATATATATATATATATATACGAAATACACGGAACAAGCAATGTGCTATTATACAATCATAACTTTAAACGAATGAACTGCACTCGATTAAACTAAGGGGAGAAAAAAATGCAAGATTGATTGAATTCTAGTTTTCGGCTTAGCTTTCGCACAGTATCGCCCCGCATACATACATACATATATACATACATATATACATACATATATATTAGGTTGTCGGATAATTTCTGTTACACTTTTTATTTTAATTCTTAAAAATCTCAGAAGCCTTGGAAAGATCTCATGTTCATGGTGTATGGGCAGGGTCAAAAGGCCCATACAAGGGTACCGTCGCATCCGCGATCCATGCGCAAAACACTCACTTTGTGGCTAAAAATCCATTTCTTCCTATTTTTGTAAATGAGCTGGCGTTCTCTCAGGTGATGAGCGATAGACCGGACAATGTGTTGATCAGGTATGGCATAGCGTTTAGCTAATATGGGGGGATAACGCAGACATGTCTGCACACGTTTTTCTGAGCGGTTCAAACCTCAGTGCGCGCCATCTTTGCAATCATCGGAATTTTTACGAAGGAAACGTCTTCAAAAAATTTCCAAAAATCATTTTTATGTTTTCTGTATTCATTTCTATACGATGCACATAAAAAGAAGAATTTAGGAAAGTTTTTGAATTTTTTTGATATTTATTTTCACCCCTCGTTTTTGAAACGCTAAAAGCACCGCAATGCCTCAGTGTAAGAGACAGTTACAAAATACGTTCTAAAAAAATTCTAGAGAGGGAAAGGGCAGGTAGGTGCAGGGAAAAAGATCAGACAAAAACTGAAAAATTTGACTGCTCTTACAAAACTGCCGTAAACTTGTTGGTCATTAGTGCACTTGCGGAATCAATCATGCTGGTGGGTAGACCCTGCTATGTCCTAAGCATGTTGCAGATTTGGGGTTTTCAGAAAGCTTCTTAAATTTTCTAGAAATTTTAGAAAAAAGTGTTACAGGAATTATCCGACAACCTAATACATACATATATACATGCATATATACATACATATATACATACATATATACATACATATATACATACATATATACATACATATATACATACCAGTGGCGTACCCAGGATTTCGGCTCGGGGGGGGGCGACAAAAATTTTTTTCTAAAGAAGGTGCGTGGCGTTAGCCACGCACTCCGAAAATTTTTTTGGGTGGCTTCTAAAAACTTTTGCGGGTCCCCGGCCCCTAAAATCTCAAAAAAGGGGGCGTGGCGTCAGCCACGCTACATACATATAAAGTGCGGTTCATAATTATACGAACACCCTAAATTTTGAAAGTTTTTGGACTTTCTGGAAGAAACTCAAAAAGCCGTTGGTACCACGCGTTAGAGCACAGTCGAAAACAATGTACGATCTACAAGAATGGAAATCGATGTCAATCTTAGGAGTGTTTTTGCGCCTAATGCGAATTTTTAGCGGTTCATAATTATACCAACACCTCAAAAAAAAGGTCCATTTTTCATTCAAGATTGCAACCTTTCGAATCCAAATTATTGTAGAGTTACAGTAACCAAGTCTGACATATCTGCTACACACTAAACCCACTGCAGCTCAAAAAGAGGATCGTTACTTTTTTCAGATGGCTCTAAATGCCTTTGGAGTGATTGCGCTCCAAAAACATACGTTCTTCTGTGGTTTACGCACTCTAATTAGCTTGTACCAAGGCTATGAGATAAAATAAGCTCTTTCGATAGATATTTTGTTTGACGCTTGGAAAATCTATGCGTTTTCGTGCCGTTTTTCAACCAAGTTCCAACCTTACCCTAGAGTTAGCACGATTTTGAGCCTCAAAACTCAGCTTCTCTTTCGCGCAAACATTTGATATGGAGCATCTGCGTTCCTTGCATGATGATGTATCCGTGCCAACGTTTTTGCGTTTTTTATATAACTGATCTTGAAGCTATGGAGCAAAAAAACAAAATAAAGTTGTAATTGCAATAGTAAAAACAGTGGTTTTGGTGAAATGACGTCTGCGTGGCCAAAACAAGCGCTCAACGCTGCTGATTTTTTCTAGCCAAATACATTGTCTTGTGTTCTACATACCATCTGCTTACTTCATTGTAGGGCTTCCGAAGCTGAGTTTTGAGGCTCGAAATCGTGCTGATCCTAGGGTAAGGTTGGAACTTGGTTGAAAAACGGTAAGGAAACGCATAGGTCTTCCAAGCGTCAGACAAATTATCTATCGAAAGAGCTTATTTTATCTCATAGCCTTAGTACAAGCTAATTAAAGTGCGCAAACCACAGAAAAACTTATGTTTTTGGAGCGCAATCACTCCAAAAGCATTTAGTGCCATCTGAAAAAAAGTAACGATCCTTTTTTTGAGCTGCACTGGGTGCAGTGTGTAGCAGATATGTCAGACTTTGTTACTGTAACTCTACAAAAATTTTGGACTCGAAAGATTGCAATTTTGAATAAAAAAAGACCTTTGTTCAAGGTGTTCGTATAATTATGAACCGCTAAAAATTCGCATTAGGCGCAAAAACACTCCTCAGATTGACATCGATTTCCATTCTTATGAATCATGTACCGTTTTCGGCTGTGCTCTATCTCGTGGTACCCACGGCTTTTTGAGTTTCTTCCAAAAAGTCCAAAAACTTTCAAAATTTCGGGTGTTCGTATAATTAAGCCGCACTTTATACATACATATATACATACATACAAGGTGTCCCAAAAAAATGTCAACACTATTTGATCGTTAATAACTTCATCACTTCCATGTCGTTCGCAAAGTTCGAGGCACCATTCTGTAGAGCGAGGTTCAATTTAATTTGTTCATTGTACTTCCTATGTTCTGCAAAAAATGCCTGGACACAGCGCTGGTGCTGCACATGTATGAACGAAGCGGCCAGGCGGCTCACATAGAGGCGGAATGTCGACTTTGTCGCTGGAACAGCACATGCCAGGAGGTTCGGCTCTGAACTTCTTGGCTTGACACTTGCCACATACGACATCCATCCTTCCGATTACTACCTTCGGATGGGTCGAGTAGTCGACCTGGGCATCGTAGTTCAATGCCGCGAGGTGAAGCTCTACTCGCTTAGATGTCTGTCGAGCGTGGACATGTCGAGCACGATCACTTTCGAGCCGTTCTGAATGCGCTGCATCAGTTTCCGCTCTTCGTGAAGCCTCAGTCCTCATTCGACTGCTGTCAAGTCGAGAATCGCGCTCTTCAGCCTTCTCCTGAGATCTGGCTTCGGCGTGTCTGACTCGGTGTCATCGAGTCGCGAATCGCGCTTTTCAGCCGTCTCCTGAGATCTGGCTTCGGCGTGTCTGACTCGGTCGTCATCGAGTCGAGAATCGCGCTCTTCAGCCGTCTCCTGAGATCTGGCTTCGGCGTGTCTGACTCGGTGTCATCGAGTCGCGAATCGCGCTTTCAGCCGTCTCCTGAGATCTGGCTTCGGCGTGTCTGACTCGGTCGTCATCGAATCGAGAATCGCGCTCTTTAGCCGTCTCTTGAGATCTGGCTTCGGCGTGTCTGACTCGGTCGTCATCGAGTCGAGAGTCACGACTTTTTCGTGACTCTGAGGCTCTCAGAACAGCAAGCCGCTGGCGAGTTTGCGAGAGACTTGCTTCACGCTGTTCAGGCATTTGCGTTGCTCTCGCCTCGGCTATTCTGGCACGATTGCCTTCTAGCCGTTGCTGGCGCTGCTCAGAGGTCTTAGCCTCTCGTTGGTCCCTGACCTTTTTGGCCTTGGGATCAACTCTTCCGATGGATGCACGCTTCTTCGGCGACATCCATCCTGTGCTATATGAGAGCCTTTTAGGCTTTA